CTGATCTCTCCAAGACCTTTATCATGTAGGGGTGTTGTATTTTGTCAAAGGTTTTTTCAGCATCTAGTGAGATGATCATCTAGTGAGTTTTTCTTCTTCAGTTGGTTTATTTGGCAGCTTGCACTGATAGATTTTCAAATGTTAAACCAACCCTGTATCCCGGGGATGAAGCCTACTTGATCATGGTGGATGATTTTTCTGATATGTTCTTGGATTCAGTTTGCCAGTATTTTTGCATCAATATTCATGAGGGATATTGGTCTGTAGTTCTCTTTCTTAGTTGCGACTTTGTGTGGCTTGGGTACCAAGGTAATTGTAGCCTCATAAAAAGAGTTTGGCAATGAACCTTCTGCTTCTATTGTTTGGAACACTTTGAGGAGTATTGGTATTAGCTGTTCTTTGAATTTCTGTTAGAATTCTGCACTGAAGCCATCTGGCCCTGGGCTTTTTTAGGTTGGGAGACTTTTGATGATGGCTTCTATTTTCTTAGGGGTTATAGGTCTGTTTAAGTTGCTTATCTGTTCTTGATTCAATTTTGGTAAGTGAAGCCTGTACAGAAAATTGTCCATTTTCTTTAGATTTTCGAATTTTATGGAGTATAGGTTTTCAAAGTATGACCTGAAAATTCTCTGGATTTCCTCAGTGTCCATTGTTATATTCCCTTTTTCCCCATGTGATGCTGAAAAGAAGGTATATTCTTTTGTGTTTGGATGGAATGTTCTATAGATGTCTGTTAATCCCAATTGGGTCATAACTTCTGTTAGTTCCTTTGTCTCTTTGTTAAGTTTCTGTCTGGTGGTCCTTTCCAGTGGTGAGAGTGGGGTGTTGAAGTCTCCCACTATAACTGTGTGAGGTCTTATTTGTGATTTGAGTTTTAATAATGTTTCTTTTACGAACGTCGGTGCCTTTGTATTTGGTACATAGATGTTTAGAATTGAGACTTCATGCTGATGGATTTTTCCTGTGATGAATATGAAATGACCTTCTTCATCTCTTTTGATTGATTTTAGTTTGAAGTCTAATTTGTTAGATGCTAGGATAGCAACCCCAGCTTGTGTCTTGGGTCCATTTGATTGGAATATCTTATCCCAACCCTTTACTCTGAGGTAATGTCTGCCTTTGAATTTGAGGTTTGTTTCTTGTATGTAGCAGAAGGATGGATTCTGTCCTTGTATCCACTCTGTTAGCCTGTGTCTTTTATAGGCAAGTTAAGACCATTAATATTGAGGGAAATTACGGACCATTGAGTGCTTATTCTTGTTTGTTTTTGATTTGTTGTTGGTAGTAGTATTTATGTGGATTTACCCTGCTTTTTCTTTTGGGTTTTGGTAAAGTGGAACTATCTATTGCCTATGTTTTTGTGAGTGTAGTTAACTTCCTTAGGTTGGAGTTTTCCTTCCAGTACTTTCTGTAGGGCCAGATTAGTGGTTACATATTGTTTAAATCTGATTTTGTCATGGGAACATCTTGTTTTCTCCATTTATAGTGATTGAAAGCTTTGCTGGGTATAGTAGTCTGGGCTGGCATCCATGTTCTCTTAGAGTTTGTAGAATATCTATCCAGGTCCTTCTGGCTTTCAGAGTTTTCATGGAGAAGTCCAGTGTAATTCTGATAGGTTTGCCTTTGTATGTTACTTGGCCTTTTTCCTTTGCTGCTTGCTCTTAATATTCTTCCTTTATTCTGTACATTTGGTGTTTAAATTATTATGTGATGAGGGGACTTTCTTTTGTGGTCCACTCTATTTGGTGTTCTGTAGGCTTCTTGTACTTTCATTGGCATG